TTTTCTCTCTCAATTTACAGTTATGTGACAATTAAAATAACAATAATACATGTAGATTTTTTTAAATCCAATCCCACACGAGCATTAGCATTAGCATTAGCATCTTCTTACCCACAGGTCTGTGTCCTAACTATTAAGTTGTTATCAGAGTAAATCCCTGTTCAACATGAGTCTGACAACTAACCAAGTAGATAAATAACTTTAAACTTTAACACATGCTCTGATAGGCCGGGATCCTAATCCTGACAGCAGGAGTTCTCATCTTTTTTTCTTTTTTTTTTCCCTCCACAGACACTTTCATCCAGAAGACCAAGCAGCGCTACAACAGCCCGCGCTCTCTCTCCACTAGGATAAACCTGGCCGACATGCAGACGGAGATCCGGCTGCGGCCGCCGTACCGCCTCTCCCCGGAGGACCTGAGGGCCGCCAACGGCCTCGCCCCCCCCACGCCCCACTACAAGGGCATAGGTACCGCGTCCACGTCGGCCATTTTGATCAGGTCGTGTGACGAGCAGCTTTCTGAGGTGGAAAGGAAACGTTGCTGTCTATATGAAGTCTGAAAATAAACGATCTCCTAACCGTAAACATGACTCTAACCCTGACCCTAATCCTAAACCTAACCCTAAACCTGACCCTAACCCCAACCCTGACTTTAACCCCAAACCTGACCCTAAACCTAACCCTAAGTCTGACCCTAAACCTAACCCTGACCCTAACCCTAACCCTGACTCTAACCCTCACCCTAACCCTGACTCTAACCCTAAACCTGACCCTAAACCTAACCCTGACCCTAACCCTAAACCTGACTCTAAACCTAACCCTAAACCTGACTCTAACCCTAACCCTAAACCTGACTGTAACCCTAAACCTGACCCTGACCCTAACCCTAGGGTTAGCGTTAGGACATTGTCTGTCTTCTGATTTCGTATAGACAGTAAAGTTTCGTTTCCACCTCAGAAAGCTGCTAGTCACATGACCTAACCAAAATGGCCGACTTGGATGTGGGAGGAGTTGGATATCCACCCGAGGCTGCTCTTTAGAAAAGCCGTTTAGTCTCTCTGGACGCGTCTATTTCCTGGTTCTATGGGCATAAATCATTATGTGCAAAAGGGTCAAACCAGATATATAAATAAATGCTTTTCAACACAATATACACGTATGTACTCAACATGGATTCGGTGTTTGGGGTAAAAGACCAGCTGCAGACGGCCTGTGATGCTTGTCCCTGCAGCTCCCACCCAGGTCCTGGAGCCCCTGACCCTCCCGGGCGTGGTCTCCAAACATGTTTTAAATAGCCTCAGCTATCCACTAGGGCGGCGCTATAGAGCCGACCCTGTTCTAACCCGATATCTGATAACTGTTCTAGCCCCCACCCAGGTTCTGGAGCCCCTAACCCTCCCGGGCGTGGTCTCCTGTGTGCTGAGCGTGCTCTGTGGGGGCCTGAACCTGCTCCGGGGGGTCCACGCCATAGAAAGCATCCTCCAGGTGAGAACCGCCTCCACCCGAACTTTAAAAAAAAACAATTATATGATTTAATATTATAAATAATTTCCCTCTGGAATTATTATTATTATTAAGTATTTCTGATATTAATATTTAAAAAATGTAATATTATTTCATATCTTTATTTAAAAATGTTAGCATATTTAAATATATTTATAGCTATATATTTATATGTATAAATAATGTATATAAGTAGATATTAAATGTTGCTGTAACTCATTTACTTAGTGTGTTATTATATATATTTTTTAATATTAATATTTAAAAAATGTAATATTTCATATATTTATTTAAAAATGTGTTAGCATATATAAATATATTTATAGCTATGTACCTTTTTATATATATGTATAAATAAGGTATATATGTAGATATTAGATGTTTAGTGAGTTAATAGATATTTTTTTTAATATTATTTTTAAATATTTAATATTATTTAAGAATTTAATTGAAAAAATGCGATAGCATATATATATATATTATACCTATATATCTTTCATATATATATATATATATGGTATGTATGTAGAGATGTTGCTGTAACTCATTTAGTTAGTGAGTTATTTGATATTTTTTCAATGTTAATATTTCAAATATTTGATATTATATAATAATTTTATTTCAA